CCCCCCGCCCCGTGTGTCGAGGAACGAGAACGGGGTCACTGTGCTGGGAGCCCGGGACTGACAGTTGCCGCAGGGGCGTGTCATGATCCAGGGTCCAGGGTGCCTTTTGGGAAGGGGCGGCTTGCTGTTCTGTAGAAAGATGGCAGGGGAGGCGCGCATAGGAGCCAGGAGGCCGGTGAGGAGGGGGAGGGACTTGGCCGGTGGAGGGAGGGCCTGGCCCGCCTCCTGCTCTGATCCGCCACGTCAGTCATCACGGCACCAGGTGCCTCCCCCGTGTCCTGAATTCTTAGAAGGCCAGTGACCTCACATCCCGGTCCCAGGGCTCTTCCTAGCCCCGCTCTGCCTCCAGGCCAGCAGGGATGGTGTCCCGAGGTTCGGAGGCTGGGAGGCAGGGAGGTGGGCACGAGGATCGGGACTGATGGCCGTGCCGCCCCCTCCTCGGGCCGTGTCACTTGGCAGGCGCCCACGTCCCCGCTGACTGCCACAGTGCAGACTCCGTGCCGATGGATGCTGGAGAGTGCCAGCATGTCCCGCGCTAAGAGCTTCCTCTGAATTTAATGGATGAAATGGCTGGCTTTGCGCATGGGGAAACCAGAGCCTAGAGCGGCCCCTGACTTGCCGAGGTCACACAGCTAGAGAGTGAGAACCTCAAGTCAGGAGGTCTTTGTGTGTTAACCACTACCTTGCTGGGAGCTGGAGAGATACGTGGTTCCTGAGATGCTGTTTCTCAGCACCTGACATCTCAGCTCTGGGCAGCCCCCGGGCTCTCAAGAGTTCTCTGACCACCGGAAGGGTTTTGTGACCAGGTGTCCTGCTGGATATCACTGCCCCAGTCTTAATAGGACACATCCAGGTGGTGACTTGGTGTCTCCCCAGAAATTGTGGTCCGTGGAACTGAGAGGGCTGGGCTCTGCTGCCCCAGGAAAGTCTCCGAATGTGTCCGAGCCTCAGTGTCCTCATCTGTGAAATGGGTATAAAAAGCGCTTGTTCTCCCTACATCTTGAGCTGCCGGGAGGGTCCAGAGATAATAGCAGAGAAAGAAAGTACTTGGGAATTACAGGGGACGTGTGTGTGCTGGCTGGCGTTGCCCTCTGCTGGGCCTGGCCGTGCGCTGAGAGGTGGCAAGAGGGGCCTCCCTTCAGGCGCTTTGGCCCCCACCCCCCAATGTAAGCTCTCCAACCACATGGATGCTGAGGGAGGGGTTGGGGAGAAAGCTCGCCCCCTAGCGGACAAGGCTGTGGTTGCCGCAGCTGCAGGAGCCTGAGGGTGGAACAGGTGTGCCAGGGAGCAGAGAAGTGCCGGCCAACTGGAGAGGGCTGGGAGGCCAGGGCAGTTATCTTTGACGGATCTGGTGTCTGAGTGTTAAGTAGATGGGTAATGATGGTGACAGAGGGAGACGTAGATGTTGATGATGCAGGGTCTGCTCCCCTCCATTGGAGACATTTCTGCAGAGAGGGGACAGTGTAGGGGGATCCGCGGTGTCCCAGGACAGGGGCGTGCAGGTGGGCCAGGTTTCCAGCCAGCTGACTGTCTCTCCCACAGTCGGGTCGGCTGCCCGAGGGGCTGTGCTCACATTGGGGTACCAGCCAGCCCCCAGGCCACCCCATGGGCCTTGTGACCCTGGGGCTTTGGTGGTCCATCTGGGGCACAGGCTTGCCCCTGAGCATTGGGTCTTAGTTTTCTGCCTTGAATCTTGCTCAGATAGTAGAATAAGCTGACCACGGGCCTCGATCGCACAGCTTGGGGGAGGAATTCACCCCGGGGGCAGCCCTGCGTCTTGACTTGGGGGCCAGATTCTCATTTGTCTGTTTATACGTTTGTTTGGTTCGCTTACTTCGTTTATTGTAATAGGTGTTTGTTGGTGGCTGCAACTTTGTCGCGGTTAGCGTTTGGATTGTTGTGGAACGTTTAGCAGTATCCCCGACCCCAGCCGCCAGCCGCCGGTAGCCACATCCCTTCCCTGAGATGTGACGACCAGAAATGTGTCTGGACACTGCCAAATGCTTGCCCTTGTTGAGAACCAGCGATCTAAACCCTGATGTTTCAGCTTCGAGACTGGCCCCATTCCCATCTCTCGCTCCCTCAGACAGCTGGCTCCCGGCCAACCCCCGGTGCAGGTGATGTGCCTGGAGTGTTCACCCTTCCTGCTTTCCCGCTCCCCTCACCTTCTACCTCTCCTGTCTGGAGGGCCTGCTCACTTCCATTCTTCCGCCTGGGGACAGAACTGGGACCTGAGACAAGTTACTTAACCTCTCTGCGCCTGTTTCCTTGTCTGTAAATTACGGCTAATATAGTAAATGCGCCTTGATAGGTTGTATGTAGAGGGAGATAGTTGATGGACGTAAATACTTAGCACACTTCCGGCGTATGTGTGGTTCTTAGTCAACACATACTTGTTTTTGTTGTGCTGAGTGGGCTGTGCTACGATATATCCGCAAGCGAGACAGAAGCCCTGACCTTGGGATTTCGCGGGCCAGGAGGGAGGCAGATCCGTTATGTTGCAATTGTGACTCAGTGGAACAAGTGCTGTGGTGGGGAAGCCCCAGGGGGCAGCGGGAGCCTGCAGAAGAGACGCCTCACCCAGGGGTTAAAGAAGGAAGGCTTTCCGGAGGAAGCGGTATCCCAGCCAGGACCTGAAAGATGAGTCTGGGTTTGCCGGGTGAAGGGAGGGGAGGAATCGTGGTCTACGTTACCTACCTTTAAGAAAAGTTTTAAAGGCTTCCCTGGGAGAGAATAATCGAATTTAGCGGGCTGTGGTAGCAGATAGGGCCGGACCCGTGTCCCACGATCTGGGCTCAGGGGTTCCCGGAATGAACGTGCTTGGCGCAGCGAGGCTGGGATGGGTGCCAAGTGCAGCGTTAGCGGCCTGGAGAGGACCCGCTGCAGGTGCTGGAGGCATCTTGGTACCAGGAGCCTCCAGATGCTTCCGAGGGGAGGACGTGCCTGGGAAGGCAGATGGGGAAACAGTGCAGCCGCTGTGTGCACAGCAGGGCTATGCCCCCAGCTCGCCCATCCCTCTGCAGGGGGGGGGTCCCCAGGGCAGCCCTGCCGAGTGCCGTGTCTCGGCACCCAGCTGGCGGATGCTTCCGCCATCACTTTCAAGGGGACGGAAGGTGGTGGGCGGAGCGCGGTGGAGCTCCCGCGGGTTGTTGAAGCTCACCTGCCGTAGGCCTCGGGGTGCTGTCTGGGGCACCGGGGTGGGCCCCTGGTGATGGTGTGTGTCGTTCTCTCCCCAACAGCTATAGTCTCCGCCTGGCCTCCCGGTGTCCTCCTCCAGCCGCCCCGTACATCACCAGGCAGTGTAGGAATGTCAAGGCGACGGCTGCAGCCCAGTTCCAGGGACCCCTCTTCAAAGAGTAGACACTTCGCCTGCTCCCTGACAGGTACGAGGAGGGTGGAGCAGCTTCTGGCACTGCGTGGGCGGCTCGGGGGCCCGGGAGGGCTGGGGCTTGGGTCTTTGGGCTGGGCTGGGGAGCAGGGAAGAGGGTGGGCCTGGTGTGTGCCGGGTGGAGCCCGGGGCCTTCCTGCAGGTGGGCGCGGACCCTGGACCCCGCCCCCAGCTCTGCCACTTACTGGCGGTGGGACCTCGGCAAGATACTCAGCTTCTCTGAGCCTCAGTTTCCACATCTATAAAGTGGGGGTGACCTACTTCATAGGTTGTGAGAATTACAAGGGTCACATGTACGCAAAACATGTAGACCAGCGCCTGACACATAGAAAGCATCAGGTAAGTATTAGCTCTTGTTACTGATTGAATAAGAACAGCAACAATAACCAGCATTAATCGAGACCTCCAGAGGCTTTAAGCCCAGAGAAGATCGTGTAGTCTTTATTCGCACAACGTATTTGAAAGTGAAAGTAGTACTTTTCTGTAAGATACAGAGGTTAAATTTATGTTGAACCAGAAGTCTCTTTCTAGACTGTCTGATGGTAAAACCTGAATTCATTTATAGGAGCCGGACTTTCCATCTTTTGAGGGGAGGGCTGGGCTTTGCCAGTGACTTCGAGTAGGCTTGGGCTTCTTTTGTTGGTGACACGGCACATCTTCCTTCCTTGTGTCCCTGAGACCAGCCTCTAAAGAAACGATTGGAGGACTGCATGCACCTGTGCATTGGGGCACCGGTTAAAGATACCCCGAGGTGCAACTCCAGATTTGCTAAAAAGCATCCTTGGTGTGCAGGGCCTGGGAATCTGTGTTAGCAGGTGGCCCCGTGATTCTGGGACGCACTCAAGCTTGCGGATGCCTGCTTAATGCAGCCAGGGTTGTTCAGAATGAGAACATCGCTGTTTAAGGCAAGAATGGGCTGAATTCTGAAACTCTGGCGTCTTCTGTGTTCTACTTTCCTCCCTTCCACCTGCCCTGATGCCCACAGAGTGCACTCACTGCTTCCTTCCTGAAGCTGCTGGAGTCTCGGGGCTTGGCTTTATTTCTCTGGGGCTTGGGGAGGGGAACGGAAACAGAATCCACTTTCCCCAGAGAGTCTGTTGTCTTGAGCCAGAACCGAGCCCGCGTCTCCAGCACAGGCTCCTGAGAGGGCTCACGGCCCTGAGCTGGGGATGCTGGGGAGCCGAGTTGGAGTGGACGCTAGGATAGCACCCAGCTGGAAGGCCCGGGAGATCGTCCCTCCCTTCTCCCATCTTACAGATGGGAAGATTGGGGCCTGGAGACGAGACGCTGGGCTGGAGTCTCCCAGAGAATGGGAGTCTGTGCCAGGATAATTCTGGGGCCCGGGACGTCCCTGTGGTGGCCGCTGGAGGTGTTCTTTGCAACGTGAAGGAGAGCCAGGTGCAACTGGGCTGATCCGTCTGCAGACAGGGTGCGTCCATTGGCCACTGCAGTCTCTGGTGGTGACACAGTGTTGGCCAAGCGTTGCTAATTCGGGCTCTGCCCAGGGGCCAGGGCACGACCCCGGAAGTATGCCTTGTCTTCCCTTATTTTCAAACAGGTGCGGCTTCCCCGGCAAGGTGCTCAGGTGAATAGAAGCCCAATGTAATTAGCATCTGCAGTTAACAGCCCCTATTCGCCCATCAACAGTGAGCATTTGGAACTGAATGGCCTAATTTCTAAGTGACTGGAACTTGCCCCTTCAAGTCTTAAACTTTTTTACGTTTCTAATTTGTATTTACAACAAGCCTGTTGTGGATCTATCTATATAGATCTATCTATCTATAGATAACATACCCGTGTATACAAATTAAAAGAACACCTCATTTATACTGTTTGTCTTGCTCGGGCCGCCATAACAAAATACCACAGACTGGGGCTTAAACATGCAGACATTTGTCTCTTACAGTTCTGGAGGCACAAGTCTCAGGCCAGGGCGCCGGCACGGTCCTCACCAGAACCTTCTTCCCGGCTCACAGAGGCCGTCTTCTGGCTGCATCCTCCATCCTGCAGAGAGGAGGCCCTGGTGTCCCTTGTAAGGGCACTGATCCCATCACACGAGGGGTGAGGGCTTCCTCATATGAATCTTGAGGGGGACACAGTTCAGCCCATTGCCGTCTTTAACACACTTCCAGAATGATTTTTTTTTCAGTGCTGTGACAAAGGATGTTAGCGTGGGCAGGGCGTGTAGGTCACGGAGAGGCAGTTGGCAGAACTGGGGGCAGAGCTTGAGTCGTCTGACTCCTAGAATGGATGGTGGACTTTTTAAGTGGCCTACGCTTGTCCCCTGAAACCCCGTGTGAGACTGTGTGTGCAGTGGGGTCTGTTATGAGGAACGGGTGACATCCTGGAAGCGCCCAGGCCCCGGGACTGCCCCTCACCTGTTGCTCTCGCCGGCTTAGAGGCTCTGGCCACTTTACTCGACGGTCCGAACCGAGCTAGGAGCTCGGCTTTTCTCCTGGGACTGTTGTCTGCAGGCACCTCCCTTTTCTGGGCTTTATCGGTGCCATGGGCAAAGCCCAGAGCTCTCTGTTCGCTTTCAGGTACAAAACGTGCCACCTTGCCCAGTCCAGCGTGAAGCCTGCCCCTGCACGTCCTGTCCGCCTCTGTCTCTTTCTGTTGCTTGGGGCCAGCCGCACTTGGGCCCCGGGGTCTTCGAGGGGACGTCCGGGGAAGGGACTGGCACCTCTCACTCATCTGGCTGCCTCCGTGATCTTCCCCTCAGCTGTCGTTGGCCTTGGGGCAGGCTTCCTAGTGCTGGTCGCTGGCCTCTTGTGGGGTCCCAGGAGTGGGGTGGGTGGGGTGTCTCCCCCTGCCCGCCTCCCTGATAAGAGAGCTCCCCTCTAGCAAATTCTGCCCAGCTCCAGCCCCAGTGGTCCAGCCCACGGCCCCTGCTGCTGGGGTCCCCTCCCTGAAGGGCTGCTCCTCGGGCTGGGGACTGGCAAGATGGCTTCTTTTGTGGGTCCCGCTCGATGACCCACAGGTAATACACACATGACACCAGCCACGCCGGCCCGAGGACATGCAGGCCACTCCATGGCTGGCCCCTGTCTCTGTGTTCTTTTTCTCCCCCGGCTTGTGCGGGGATGGGCCTGGGCACATGTGGGCCCCCACCGGGAAGGGAGGCCCTCCTCTCTTGAAGGCGCCCTCGTGTACTGCAAGCAGCCCTCCTTCCAGCCCCATCAAGAGGTTTCGGGGGGCGGGGGTTGGAATGGATCGTGGTCAAGTGTGCATTTTCTGGAAGCGAATCCTGGCTCCAACAGTCCTGGTAGGTACTTCACTTCTCTGCGTTTCAATTTGCCCATCTGCAAAATGGGTTAATGGTATACCTGTGTCATAGGTCTGCTGCAAGGACTGCGTAGGTTAGTACGTGAGACGCCCTTAGGAAAGTGGCTGGTGTGTGGTCAGCCTGCCTTGAATCAGCCCTGCTGTTTCTGCTCCCACTGAGTTATCAGAGTAGTGGTAGGAAGAGGAATCGTAGTTGTAGCAGGAGTAGGAGTTACAGGAATGATGACCAGGTCCATGGGGTGAGACAACGGAGCCCCTGAACTTGGCCCAGCACAACGCCATGCTCCTATTCCGCCCAGCGCAGCAGAAGTTACTGAGGACTGACTCACGAGCCTGGCTCTGTTGTCAAGTACTGCGAGTGGGGTTTCTGTGCAGGAGGCGCGCAGCCCAAGCCATTCGCTCTGACGGAAGGCACACGCGGGCTCTGGGGTGGGCTCGGCTTGAGTTCCAGCCCCACCTCTGCCCCTCGTTACCAGCCTGACCTGGTGAAAGCCGCTTGCCCTCTCTGAGCCTCTGTTTCTTCCATGCAAGATGGGGATCAGTGTCACCTGCCACGAGGGTCATCGGGACCATTAGAATGAAATCAGGTGATAGTGTAATCACTCCAGAAAAGCCTTTGGCAGTATTGTTTGAAGTGGGACCCAGCAGTTACACCACTAGGGAGACACTCAGCAGGTGTGTGCACACGCATGGGAGAGCTCCTATGTCATCCGTGCACACGCTACCAGCCAGCACTTCCACTTGGCGCAGACAGGCACGCATGGACGCCACACGTGTCTTCCAGGCGTAGATAAGCGAGTCCTAGCCACCCGCATTCCTCACGGTGGCCCCGCATCGGAAGCTGCCCGCTCGTGCACTGGTGGGGACCAGCCAGATGAAAGTGGCAGGATCCTGCGGTAGAATCTCCCAGCAAGGAGGTGGACAGAGCTGCACGCGCGGGCTCCAAAGGGGTGAATCCCCCAAATGCACCATGTGGAAGAAGCCCAGACGGGAAGGATGTGTGCTGGTTGATTCCATTTACTTCAGTTAAAAAACGGACAAAAATCAATCCCTGGTGATCGAGGGGAGGTAGTTATTCTGGGGGTGAGGGTTAGTGCTGGTCCTGAAAAGGAGCCTGGGCTGGGGGCTAAGGGGAGGTTGGTCACGTTCTGTTTCTTGATCTGGGTGCTGGTTGCACGGGTGGAAATTCATCAAGCTGTGCTTTCTTTCTGTACGCGTGGTGTATGTCAGTAAATTGTTGCATTAGAAGAACTGACTGAGATGGTGCTTCAGCAGCCCAGGGAAGGCACTGAGGATGCGGCCACTGTTACCATTTTTCTTTTCTTTTTCTCCTTCAGCACCTGAAGTGACCTGGAGTCAGTGAAGCCAAAGGGACTGGCTGGCCCTCTGCCCCGCAGGGAGTACCGACCTATTCCAGTTTTACGAGCCTGCGAGAGAAAGGGAGGGAGTGTGTGCGTGCGTGGGTGTGCGTGTGCGGTCTTCAGACGAGGGTCCCAAACCCCAGGGAGGCAGGAAGGCAGCTGACTCCACAGCGTGGACGACACGTGGGTGCAGGCTCTGGGACCGTGTTCTGCAGCTCAGCCTTCCTGCTGGGGTGGGGCCTCTCCTACTATGCAATTTTTCAAGAGCTCCTTGATCCTGCTTTTTGCTTTCTCGAGTTGTCTTTTGCCATGGCGGGGACTGTGGT